GCCTGCGAGTGAACGCCTCAGCATGCTTCGTTTTTGTTGTTGTGCTCGACTTGTTTCGTGGTTGGGTGAGATTTTTGTTGCGCGGTTGGGTGCCACAACTACCGGGCAGCACGTGCGAGCCAAGACATGACGTTCCACATCTTTCCGCGAGACGTGCAATGACGAGCAAAGTGGATCGTCGTCGTGCGTAGGGACTGGGTTCCCGTCAAGATCCAGATCCCGCTTATGCAGCAATCATCTCACAGAAGAGAGCTACAAGCTGAGCTCTAAGCGGACAGAAGGCTTGTTAGCTGAGGTGTGATGCTGTGCCAACGATATTAAACTACGTCCACCCACCCCTCGCCCAAAACGGATCAGACAATTTAGGTCTGTCGATTCGCCTGAACTGGCTGAACTAGTTCAGTATTGCAGGAACTGGCGCATTCGATTCAACCGGAAGTTGCACGACCGCTGCACTGGCGCGTTCGATTCATCCCAGTTCTGAACGAGTTCAGACCCAGTTCCTCAAAATCTTGCACCGGCTCCGGACTCAGTTCAGCGTCCGTGCAGAAGCAGACGACAAGAGCAGACGGCCGATAGCAGACGACACTCCTCGTCCCTCTCTGCTCGCGGTGTCATTTTTCGCAGCTCTTGCTCAAATATGTCTGCGATGTTTAACAATAACGCCGATACGGAGTTTGCATTTTCTCTCATTTATGATAATAACGTACCCGTGGTGGACGCGGAATTGAGATCATAACCGAGGGTAGGAATTTGCTTAATTATGATATTCTGCAAGCGTTCTAGGGTCCTGCTTGCGTAGGTTTGGCTCTTTGTGGTGAGTGTTGAAATATTGGCTCACGTAAATTGTTTCTTTTTGATGCTATGTGGGGATCCGCAGTGTTGATATTCTTACTTACAGACACGGGAGAGGTATTGCCATCTTGATAGTCCCCGCCTTCGGTTGCTCTCGGATGCATATTGACGACTCCGATATACAATGCAGAGGTCTGGGATTTAGTGCGTTGGCACTTGCATGTCCCCGTAGCTGAGCATAATACTGCATGCTTTGCCCGCTGGTATCTGTAGACGCCTACTAACGGGCCTGGGAAAAACGCCGAGAATCGGCATTTTCGCCGATTCTCGCTTCAACTTGACGCCAAAGTTACGGTCGATAACTGTCTTGGCCAAGACGCTATCGTCAGGCCTTCGTCTTCGAGGTGACCGGTATACCGACCGCGCGCTGCCGCCAGTGACTCCCGACGCAAAATCATCCTGATGCCGCGAACCTATCGCCGAAATGCGAAGATTTTTTTTGAGGGGCATTTGCCGCTACCTTCTTGACTTGTAACCAACTTCAGAACTTCCTGCCGAATCGAACAGACCTTGATTATGCAGCGAAACCGAAACCAACAGCTAGGCCATCTCTAAATGATACCAGAAGTTGTATTTAGTACGCGTGCAGCCCGATATCTGTTTGACCCGCGTGTGAAAATGGAGCGTGACTATGATTCACCAAGCTCGTCCAAGTAAAGTGACGACATGCATTTGAACGGTTCGCCGTTTGCCTTCGACCCGCGGACATCGCCTCTGAGGGAATGACCCGCAGCCTCATCACCGATCCAGTGGATCCGCCGTAATGTGTACCCAGATGCCGCTTCGTGTACCTAGGTGCCGCTTCAGATGCGAAATCTCAATCCTTTGCTTTGCAAGCGCCCCTAGTTCGATCGGTGTCCGTCGCAGTTGTGTTTGCGCGAAGCGGCTAACGTTTGTTTGAAGCTTATGGCTGTTTTCGAGTAATATCCTGCTAAAAGGCGTGACATTTTTTGCACGTGCTTGGGAAATGCATTAAAAGAAAACGTATTTCAGACGTGTACTGCCTAGGAGACTATATAATTCAAAACAAAATGCAAGACATTCATCGACCAACACTTGTTATCCCGAACATCCGACTAACCTTTGCGTTTTGTGACGTCACGCAGCCCCTACGGATGTCAGCCATTGACACTGGCGAAATTCGGGGTGCAGTTTCGTACATAGGCTTATGAAAGGTTTAATTAATAACGGGAGACCATATATCAAATTAAATATGACGTTTGTCTAGATGAAGGCTACCTCGACGTAACGAGCGCAAGAACTTAAGTACTTCCGGTTTCGACCGGACAATCCCTTTAAGGGTGAACGGAGTATAAAGGCCGGTTCACACAGCACCCTTTACTTACGTTGCGTTATGTTAAGGAAGCTTACGTCGGCTTACGTTCAGATTCACCGGGACATTTATGCTTCGTATTAAGCGTGGCAACAATTTCATTGAGTAGCATTGGAGACACGGACGTTCCGGTGACTTATCACTTGCCGTAAGAATATGTAAGCAAACGATTCTACGTGAGCCAGGCTTTAGTATAAAACAGAGCTTTGCGGTACCGCGGTACCAACTTTACGCCACACGATGGCCATGCAGCTGGTCACCAGGGTTGCCATCTTCTCGAGCCGGTAGTAGTTTCGGTTTCGCCATAGACCCGCAGAACAAAACTTTAATCTTTGATATAAGGTATCTGCAAAACTACACAGGGCATCTAAACAAAATTACACCTCGTAATTCGAGGAAACTTACTGCTCTAAAACGGTCGTAACCCTAAAATCAAGGAATAAGTACCGTAGTTTACATAGAAGATTACTCGCTTTAGCTAATGGCTCAGAAAAGCACATTTCACAACACAAAATGTGTGATCACCACCTTGTACACCGGTCAGACGACGCCCCAAAGCTCCTTTCATTAACTAATCTTTTCACTAAAAAATATTTTGCTAGAGGAGCTGCTATTGCAGGGCCGCCAAAATGTTATTTACCACCGGTATTGATTCCTTTGGGACTGGCCACAGAAAGTTAAAGCCGGAACTAGAAATATTCTTAACTTTTATAATCGTTTAAAACATTACGAGTTAATGCTTCTGATACAAGCAATGTTTGAAACGCAAATAATTCAAATAAACATGAAAGGAAACATTCGCGAGAAGCTTTTGTGTCACAGACAGACGCTGGTATACCACGACAGTATACCGAATTCAAAGTGCACAACATTATTTCCTGCTTACTGAAATCTATAAATCAGTAAAAACTAATATTTTCCCATGCTTAAAATCTGAAAATTATTTATATCTGCGCTAAGTGCTTTATTTCAGCAATACCCGAAAGAGGTCTGAGCGCGCGGGCGAGTTGTGGAATAGCCCGAGATGCGTGAGAAGGAAGAATGTACTAATCGTCTCTGATAGAGTTAAGGTTCTAGTATACAACGAAGGCTTTGGAAGGGTACAGTACCCTCAGTCAAAGCCTGAAAAACAACAATAATGAGGCAAGCCTTTCAAAGTTCTAAACCCAGGGAGTCGAAATGATGTAGTCCCTTTGTGCTGAAGGACGCGAGCGAGCGCTCTCCTCTCCCGAAATGGATGTTTCAGGGAAAGGAGCATTTGCAGTGACGTGTGGCACGAACTCCTTCTTGTTTTTAGGACATCGTTCTTTCTACTGAAGGAGCTTAAGCGGTCCGTCCGACAGGGGTATTAGATCCGTAAAGACCGATTAAAAAAAAAAAAATACATATTGCATTTTCATGAATGTGTCGGGTTTTGTAGACATGAAACGTCGACCAGGGTCTTTCACATTTAAATATGACATTTTTTGTGGCTTTTTTTTTTTTTTTTTTTTTAGATCGCAGCATCTAGGTGCCCGTTTTCGGCTTGAGCGGCGTCGGCGTAACCGCGTGGTGCATTATGGGTAAATTTCCCCGCTAAATTTGGCGGAAAAATTTCCCCGCCAAATTTAGCTTAGCAAAAAACTTTCCCCGCTGAATTTAGCGGAAAAACTCTCCGCCAAATTTAGCGGTAAATTTTCCCCTAAATGCGAGGCGGGCAAGAGAAGAGGGTGGACGTACCCTGTTCTCCGTACCTTCCCCTCCTCCTCCTCAAGAGCTGCGCTCTAATTCGGCGTTACAGGGGATTGTAAACGTCTTTCATTTTGTCTATTGCAAGTTTGACTATGATGCATTTTGTTCAGTGGTAATGTAAGCGACGGTGGTAAAACTGCGCCCGCCGGACGAACAGTTTGGTGGACTACAATATTTTACGAGAAGACCTCTCCCCAAATGGAGCGCAAGGTTCACCAACAAATCGCACACGGCTATTGTTTTCCGCTATAAAAGCATAAATATCAATTTACATACATAATAGGGAGGTATGACTGTCTACGACGACTCTCAATGAATTTTTACAAAACTTTTTCCTAAACATAAGCACAGTCGGTATACCAACAATCCATACAACGACAGATGCACACACTTTTTTACTCTGTATTCATTGCGGGTTATTTGCTTCTAACGCCCCCAACCAATGCTAATTGAAATATTTTTGCTGGCATATTTTTGCCGTAAACAAATGCTACTGTTTTTGCTAGATGTAAAGCATTTCAATTTTTGTTTTTTATATTTTGTTTTTCCGGATCTTCTAAGAAGAAAGATTTCTTTCACTGCTAATGATCGGAGGATCCGTTAAGCTTCACGCAGGAGCATCATTTCCGTCGTTCGACCATTTGTGAATCTGGCAAGCGAAGAGATATTGTTCATGGTGGATGCCCGAGACCGAGGGAACCGGCCAGAGGGACGGACCAACATTGAGGTCGGAGTATGGGACTCTTTTCTTCGCGCTATTTTTTTTTTTCTATGAATGCTGAAGTTCTCCGCGTCCTTTTCTGCAATCGAGCGTTCACTTCATAATGCCACAGAAACCAGCACGCAAGACAAAACAAGTGTGTATGTCAGGTTGGTCATAAAAACATTGTCTGCAGGTATGCTCAAAGCGTACACACGCACAAAGTCTTCCAACATTATTGAGACGTGTCCGCGGACATTTCTGCCATCGTGCCTGCGGAGAAACTCCGCGTCTTTGTGTACAATGAACGAGGAGTGTCGCTGCGGCTTTCTGGTGAAAGAGAGCCCTAGTGCGCTGCACCGAGAGAGGGCGTACGCTCACCGACGAAGGGCCAGTAGATCCACGAGCTGCCAACCAGCGGGAACGACGGCACGCGGGGCATCTGGCCGAAGGGTTTGACCGTGACCCGCGACTCGCCGCCGCGGGAGCCGTCGGCCGACAGAGCTGCCGCAGGCCCTGGGTGGGCCGCCCGCCGAGGAACCCGGAGCAGAGCTCTGGTCGCCTTCATCGCGGCCGCCTGGGCCACGAGGGCGCGGTTGGCGCTGGGGGAAGAACGCAAACAAAACGAAGGGGGAGCGATCTTTCACCGCGCGCGCACTAGCCTGAGATTGCTCGCGCCGAGCCTGGGGACTGTGCAGACTTCCGAACGGGCGAATGTGACTATAAAAAAAAAGGAGTCGGATATTGACCGGGCCCACGATAAGCCTCTTATATTCGACCTTGCTACTGACGCCATCTTATCGGTAAGATTGTTGAGCACAATCGCACCAAACATTTTCTTTTATTTCAGCCACTGCGCAGCAGGCTGTCGCCGCAGGATCGAAGATAGGGAAGCGCTAGAATGATAACGTTGTTTCACCTACTGGTCTCTATTCTAGTAGGATGTAGGGTGCCTACATGTTTCTGCTCCGCTTTAGGGTGGCTCCAACATTTTGTTACCCTTTCCCAGATTCTCTCCCACCGCCATTTTTTTCCCACTTCTTATTTCGCTAAACGTCAACAACGTAGAGTTTATGCAGTCTCGTCACACTGACAACACTGTGAGGCCACTTCCGTTTCCGTTCAGAAGAGGAGTCGTAGGCTCAGCGGGATGGCGGTCGTTGTAACTGTCGCTCTCTTTATTCGGGTGTTTCATATTTTGAAGTTGCGAGCAGGAAGTGTGCGTAGCTTTTATCGAAACGCGAGTTCTCGCGACAAAATGAAACGCAACAGACCGGCATTGAACGCCGAAACCTCACCGTCGGAACGAGAGCGGTGAGCGCTCCAAACAGCGGAGCAGAGTAGGATGGATCGCGGATCGAGGATTGTCTTGCTGGGGCCGAGCGGCACCAGCTAATGCACGGCACTCTATGGGAGAAACGGGGAAAACTGCAAATTCCTACCTTAGTAGGTTGTTCTCAACGACCAAGCGTTTATCGCGTTTTACGAGAATAACAATTAATATTCTCTGCGCAAATACCAACTACTTTAGGACATCATTTTTTTTTTAATAGGTGATGGTGTTGTTGTCCTTCTGTAGAGGTTTGAGGGTTGCGACTTTGCTGGGCGTCAACTGTGATGTGGTACGAGACAAGGGTTGCCGAGAGTCAATGTGGAGTCGCTGGAGATATCTCAGTCATCATAGCTTAGAAGACAATAAGTTAGAAGGCATTTGCTGGGAATATTCGCATCGTTTCAAGCGCTTGTACAGAGCACTTCTGGTGCAAGCTTCTGCTATGAACTGCAGTGCGGGCTTCTTTGACGAACTAAAGCTCGAAGCGTTTCGTTCATCTGTTGAAAGTGTTATTTATCTAGCAACTGAAGTAAGCGACGCTGGCAGAGTGGGTGGTGCTGCGGAACATTTGATTGTTTTTAATTGGCGCTCGAACATTTCACAAATACCCATCCGATTTCCGAACTCCCGATTTAATGATTGCATCACATATAAAATAATCGCCTTCCAACACCACGTACAATTCATTTTTTGTGTGTGTTTTATCCCATAGACTTGTGTGTATTGCCAGGTGTAAAGCAATGGCCACCGGTGGGGCCACCGACGGGCTCCCGATCCGCATTCAGCCTACTACAATAGAGATAAATGGCGCCATCGTGGGTCTGGTCTTTCTCCGCGAAGTTTCGTCAAAGCGTAGGTCGGAATATGGAGCGCTCGGTTCAGTGCGAGTATCACGTTAAAAGCTGTCCAAAGAAAACACAGTAAATGCCGCGCACGTCGAAAAGAAGAAAAAAGGCCAAATTGTTGATTCTCGAAAAAATGCGTTAGCATTTCGCACACCTGTTATACGTAACGCAGCATTGTAAGTGTAGCCTCCCAGCGCTTTTATGCTGTGTGAACCATAGAGTTATTATAATGTACGCTAGAGGTTCAACTGGCGCTAGTGTCTATGCGACTTCCGGGAGGCAAATTGAAGCAGACATCAACCAGTCTACTTTTGCGGTGCTCCTGTGCATTCCTATGGGAAAACGCGCGTGAATTTTGTCTCTTTGCCGGAAAACAACATGAATAACTTTTGTTATTTCGGTTGTACGGGATAGTATGTACCTTTATTAATATTGTGAAAGTGTAACTGCTTTATTTACACCATTTTTCTTTACCACTGAACGATGTTAAACTTCGTTATATTTCAGTCCCAAACCTACGTTCCATGGTTGGTATGTAAAAAATGAGCGACGATTCTAAGCAAAACAACAATCGAAAGGAATGTAGAGTGCGTTCAAGGTTCGCTGGCATTCCGGTGGCACTTATATATTGCTAATATGCCCGTTCTGTCACTATATGAAAACGACTTCGTCGTGCAGTTTTACGATATGTTAAAAAAATAAACTATGTGGGCTACGAAAGATGTCTTTTTATTATTTCCTATGTTGGGCAGTTTTACTCGGGCACCTGTTCTCTGGCTTCTCCTTATTTGCAAAGATTTGGAGCGTGCGGGTGATGATTTGAACCCATAACAAGCATCTTCGTACATATTCATGAGCAGAAAGAATAAAACAGTACTTATTTATTGCAAATCTGACTATATTACGTGGCTGTCAATTTATTTTTGATGATCTGCATGCACAAGGAGTTACTTATCCAGTGCTACTGCGTAGTCCTTGCTGTCTCTCTTGGTTTTCCACATGTCCTTCTTTCGTTTGGCACGTATGTCCCTCATGCTGCAAAGCGCCGACGCCGTGTTCGCGCTAACAGTGTCCGACAGTGCACATAAATACAAGTACGAAGCGGTTTTAGCACCGTTTTTCGTGCCACGAATTTCAAATAAAAACGCTGTAAGTGATCAATTATTTCTTTTCCGTGACTGAGAAATGTTCCAAGCTACCAAGTACGTACGAATAATTCGTGATATTTGCTGTTATAATCGAGCGCAGAGAGAAAATGCACTCGCTTTTTCCCATAGAAATGCATTACCGGAAGTCGATTTCGGACTGGTTGCTGTCTGCTTCAATTTGCAGCAGCACACTAGCGCCTGTTGAACCTCTAGCGTACATTATAATAACTCTATGGTGTGAACATCCTCGAAACCCGCGTTTACCCTGGTGCAAGCAGATCAGTTTATTTGGCGTGTGCATCAAGGACATGTGCGTGATGCACATAAAACTGCAGAGCCATTTTGTTGTGCGTATTTAATCACGACCAACGTTCGTTTAATATTGAGGTGAAAAGTCGGCGGTTCTGTGCAAACGGCGTTGCCGGTTCTTCTAAGTCGGGGTCACACTGTTCATACATCATACATGAGACAGTCTGCAAACACGAATCACAATATCCATGGTTCGAATGCCGCGTGCTGAATATTCTCCTTGAACTCACTGCCATGCGGCATACGAAGTACGGATCTCGAGGTGGCTCTCCTTTGAATCTGTATGCAGACTGCCCTTTTCATTTATTTGTTTATTTAAAGAACTTCAAAGGCCCGTCGACATCACATGAGGGGGGACTGTACAGTCTGATAAACATGAATAAGAAATGGCAGAGAGCACGGCGACTCCATACAAGCAATATTAAACAACTGAGCACATGAACATAAGCCAAACATTTGCGCAGCTGGCTGATATAAAGCACATAATGACTTGAAAAAAAAAATAATACACATATCCGTTAACATCTCAAATGATGCGAAATATAAATACAGTGCCCTGTTCACAAGGAAAGAACATCGTTGCATACTTTTAATTAGCTAAAATGTATGGGGTAACTCTGAAGGAAAAGAAAAAGTGTTGCATCGGAAACTGAAAACTTTTGTATAATCAGTGTGACCCCAGCTATGAGCCTTGCGCTGCCAGACGTGTTGTGCATATGGGGCCGACGACACCTTGCGCTAGCGGCCTGGTGACATGGTAAGGAGACTGCGCGTCAAAAACGGCGCCGCAGGTCCAAGAAGCGAACCGCGTCCCGTGTGCGGCCACACGTCTCCAAAGCTGGTGGCAGGAGCCTCCCAGGAGGTCGAAAGAGCGCACCCAGCCCGCCATCTGTCGGTGCTTGCCATAAAAAGGTGTTTCCTAGCCAGTTTCCACGCGAAGTCCATCAAACAATACACGACAAAACAGCACGGTCAGAATTGCACGCCTCAAAACAACTCTCGTCAAAACAGCACCGCGTCAAAAAAGCACCGCGTCCAAACAGCACTTGTCAACGCAGCACGCGACAAAACAGCCCCCGGCGTCAAAAAAGCAGAGCTACAGAAGAGCAGGTGCCTAAACAGCACGCCACAAAACAGCTTAGCAACGAAACAGCGCGCACGTAGATCCACGCTGCTTTCTCGCAGTGCGAAACTTCATTGGCACCACGCACTTAAAGGGAATAATTAACGCTAACATTTTCACCAAAACATTCGAATTGCCGTTACGTTTTATTATCTAGCGTCACACGATTATATTCTTACCTAAATATAGGCCAACCCATATGTTTACAAACACGAGGTGTGGGCGCTGCGCGTGCGCGGGAACCTGCCGAAAGCAGCAGCACCGCAGCGGCCTCACGTCAGGGCCGTGTGTGGTTATATACCCCACATGCCATGGGCACGTTGTAGGCCAGCTTCCCAAAGCCGCGAATCACACTGTACATACATAATACAAAAGGCAGTCTGGAAACACGAGTCACCGACATATCCGTGGTTCGAATGCCCCGTGCCAAGCTTCTCCCCGAACCCATTGCCATGCGGCATTCGAAGCACGGATCTCGCGGCGACTGGCGTTCGAATCTGTATGCCGACTGTCTTTTGTGTGATGTATAAGCAGTGTGACCTAGGATTTAGGCCAACAGCGGTGTAAAAGCACACCACCGGAGCATCCAGTCTTCGCTCGGGTTTCAACGTCCTTACGCGTACCGGTTCATCGAGGCCTCGAAGGACCGAGCAAGGCCTCACCAAGAAGAAGATGATCGACGGCAAAAGAGGATGCAGCCCATCCGGTTTAAAGGCATACGCGAGAATCTCGCAGATCATGAAACGTCTTGTTCCAGTATCACTGGCAGCTTTTCATTAACACCCTTTTCGGATGTCGCTTTTCTTACTGCATGTAAGGTGTATGTAAATAGAAGAGTGCATGTCACATAAACTATTTCTTTAGCAGTTCCATTAAACTGAATTGTGATTTTCATTCTTCCTTTGTGTAAATAGGGTG